GAGAGAGAGAGAGAGAGAGAGAGAGAGAGAGAGACTGAGACTGAGACTGAGACTGAGACTGAGCTCTCGTGGGGAGTCTTCAAAGAATATATGCATTTATCGTGTTGCTTCATGCTTGTATCGCTGTTGTTTCCCGTGCGAGAGTCGAACTCATTTCATTTGGGTGTAAACAAGACGATCTCTTTAGATTATGCCATACCATCGGCTCTTTGCCTTTCACCTAAATGACCTTTGCTCAATTCTCACTTTGGAATCTACTCTAACATCTCCGTCCAGCTCAGATGACTGCGAAAGCACAAAACGTTCCCAATCCCACAATCACCGTTGCCTTGTTTTCTCGGGGTATTTCAAGACCTTTTCTTTACCACCACCACCACAGGGAACTCGATTTTCTGAATCTTGTAGGTTTGCGTAATCTGGTCCTCTTTTTCTTTTCTTTAAGAAAAAAAAATGATGGCCTCCATTCTTGACAGCTACGGCCCACTGCACAACAGGGAAAATTTTCTTTCGTCGCACAGTTGCGAGTATGCAAATGAGGCAACTTTTGCCTGTTCTTTTTTTTAAAACTATCAAGTGACGTCATATTTACTAGCTGACTGTACGAGTGGAAATTTTCCTTCTGTGCACATGGCATAATATGTTGAAAAAGGAGTGAATTTGAGGAATCCTTTCTGAATAGAAGCAAGTTTCGCTTTGATGTGTCGAGTAAAGTTAAATATTGTCGGCCAGCTGTTCAGCCCAAAATTATTTTAAGACAAAAGCAAAAAACAAAAAAGTCCCAACTTATTACAGTTTCTTAGTTAACTCTGAACATGTCATGGGTTTTTACCCCTTTTTCCAGGCCAAAAGGGGTGGGTCCGAAAAATATTCATATAAATTTATCACAGTAACAAATGATTATTACGTATCTATGGAAATGGTATTGGGTATACTTTATTAATATGTGGTATCGGTTGCATTCATACTCGTGGAAATATTCAGTTGAAATACAAATTCAAAATGTTGGAAAAAGCAAGAGATGATACTTGACGTAGGTTCGATTTGTTAAAAAATCGAAACGATTGTTTCTGTGTATTCCTGGGCCTAAGATACTGGAACATCTTGCTGCCGTAATGTTCCTGTGATTTACGTTTTGCACTGTCCTGTCAGGGAATCAGGGTCATACTGATAGAAGAATTCTCGCTTGGACCACAAAGTTCTTTTCGAAACACCATGATCAACGACTATAAAGGGGGTATCGCACGTTCAACTAGAGCGACAGTTGTTTGTTTTTGTAAGCATTTCACGGCACTTCCAACACAATTAGGTCATACAAGTGCCGAAAATTAGAATAACCTAGCACAAAAAAGGAGGACAATAGTTTTTTTTATAGGAGAGAAGGAGCAAACTACGCCAAGCACCTGCCAACAACCCACAAATTGACTGTTGTCGGTCCTCTTTGTGACAAGAAAATAATAGAATCTACCTGATTTTTACCAAGATTACATATCAAGTGTTATTTTCTTATCCGAAAGAGGACGGAAAACAGTAGCTGTCAGTTTTAACGGAACGTATAATACCCCCCTTATTTACTCAGTTGATCATTTGCAACGATTGCAAATGTTTTACGCTGCTATCGACACTGTTTAGACTATCTAGAAGTCAGACTGCTCTGACCCTGCGTCACTAGCTGAGTCAGATACTGCATCCCAGCAGATAGACAGACGCGGCAAAATGTACAGTTGAACCTGCTATAACGACCGCCTGTCCAAGACAATCATCTGGTCAAACGGCCAGTTCTCCCCATCTTCCGCCTTGCAGGTTTTGTTTTTGTTTATTTATTATGACACCCTTTAAGAGTACCACCTAATATTACTGCTTTTCTCTCAGACAGTGTCTGGTCGTCTTAGACAGGTTCGACTGTACTTCCCCGCATGAGAACCAATCTCCCGTCTTTGCGTGTAACAGCGAAGAATTTAAGTATTACATCTCACGTTGATCTTAGGCCGGGCATTTTGTAACAAAAAACAAACATACCTAACAAAATAGTGTCATCTGAGAGGCTTCAAGGCTTTCAAAGCCAAAATGTGAAGAAGCAGGACATTCTAATCAATGGAGTGTAAGCAAAAGCGCCTAGGGTGTTGGGTCACAGAGAAGAGTCACTTGGCCCGACCTTTCCCTCCCTCCTGCTCACCACATCTGGTGCCTGCAAAGGGAGAGGTTAGTTAGACAGGGGGCGTGTCAGAGACGGAGTGGAGACCTCTTTTTTGTCTCCGTTTATTGTCAGTTTGCAATATGGTCGAAGAAGGTGTGTTTCAGTTAATTGTTTTCGAAAGAGTTTTACGGCACTTGCACCACAATAAAGTCGTATAAGTGCCAAAGATTAGAGGTGTTACAAAAGAGCAGCGAACACAAAATAGAAGGAGGGGAGATAAGGAGGATAGATGTTTTATAGGAAAGAAGGAGCAAACACACCAGAGCACCCACCAACAATCCACTTTCAGTATATGATCTTATAGTGGTTATATAATCGGAGAAAAATCAGACATCTCTACTGGATGCTTAAAATCCATGAACACTGCGCTAAATATGGCGAATATCCATCTTTTAACTGATAAAGAGAGTTCAGATGAGGAACAATGTTTAAAACACACAAGAATAAAATCTGCTATATTTCAGCTTATCTTTGAGGATAATCAACTTTAGAAGACCATAATTATAACCAGAGAGGAACGTTTGATCATCTCACTGAGGTATTACATTTTACCTACAATTTGCCCATAAAGGCCTACAAACGGTGCATCAGTTTTGGTGCAAGTGAAGGGCAAGCGGGCGTGCAAGAAATTCAGTGCTACCGTAAAATGTGTAGATCCATCCCCTACATTTTGTGTGTGTGTGCTTGAAAGGGCGAGGCGAGGTTGGTGACTCTACTCTAGCGCTGGCAACGCATTTCCTGTTGACTAAGTTCACCTTTCACTAAATTGGTGCGAGCACAGGTCGAGCAATGTGCTGGTGAGGGGAAAGTGAACGGGCCGAGCAATGTGCTGGTGAGGGGAAAGTGACTACTTTTTCTGCACCTTAACTCCGTCATTACTTTTACTCTTATTGCTGACCGTCGTGAGTTTTATTGTACGTTTTTATTGTTAAGTCATGCACGTGTAGTAATACAATGCTATAATAAACAACAAAGTAAAATACTACTAATTTAAAAACGTATATTTATTTATAATATTTCGAAATATCTTTTGTAAAAGTGTTAAAGCATATCACACTGGCCGTGTTCTTATAAAGTTGACAAATATGTCATGGTGTATGTGTCGTTTTGAATGTAAAAACAGAATATTATATATATACATTTAAGAATTCACATGTTTAAATATATGGATGCACACCAAAAAGTATCGATAAAAGGCTTAAGTACTTGTGCAATGTTTAAAATCTCAATTTTGGAGTGAGTCAATTCAGAAAGACAGTTGTTCGGACTTTTTACGATTAAAACTTATGAATCTTGAGAAATGGACATTGTGATTACTATGTACATAATAAAATGATTTTTTTAACCTGAGGTTCTAAGGGGACTGAAGGTATTATTAGCATTCTCTCAGACATGGGCTTCGTTCTCAATACTTTGTTCACCGCCAAGAAATTGACGCTCGCGTCCTGAAAAGTTTGAGCCATCCTTGTCGACGTCACATGGTCATGACTCATGCTTTTAGGGTTCCCTTCGTGATAGCCCTGATCGTCAAATGCAAGTGTGTGTTGCCGTTGATAGAGAGGATGTTACCATAGAGGGCGCTGGCGGGAGCTTGCACTTGCGCACCATGTTGCCTCCACCTTCTCATTTAAAATAAGGACAGAGGGCGTAGGCGTTCGTTGCATCTACGATACTGCATTCGTCTAAGTTCAAAGAGACAATAGGTTGGTAATCGTCGGGGATGGGGGCAGAGGAGACCACATGATCGGCGATGTTGAAGCTACCTTGGACTTGACAGTTGCTGGGATGTGCCCCCTGCTGACCCTGTTGGTAGCTTTGTTGAGCGACATGGGGAGCTGCTTGTTGTTGACCTGGCCAGAGGTCTCCCCTGCTCTGAACAGGGTTGGGACTGTAGTTGTACGTACTGGGAGGGTCCGCCGTGGCGGTGTTGTTAGGGGAAACGCTTCCTTGTGTTGAAAGTGAACTGGCGGCTTGACTGCCAATAGTAGCACTCGCAGTGGTCCTCTTTTTTGTGAAAAAATTTCTCATCGGGCTGGCGTTTGGAACTGATGGGCTTTGTATTGCACGGGGAAGATGATTTACGTTCGAATGTCTGCAGGCAGGATTATAAGGGGAGACTCCACTAGTGTAGCTTCGTGACATGTTAGAAGCCGCTCGTTCGCTTGTGCTAGTACTGCCCTTGTAATGGTATATGTGGGTTCTTTTTTCGTTCAAAGCGCCCACGGTGGTGTTGCCGTTGCTCTGCCCTGTGTGGCTGCCAACATCCCCGATCCGAGGACTGTTGAAGTGTCTCTGAACACCTGCACCTTGCGCCATGTTCACAGTGGTGCCTTCAGAAATGCCTGCGGTAGTGGATGTGTTGATAACGCTGGCGCGAGTGACTTTGGGCAGCCCGACTGTGGCACTTATATTGCTGTACACGTCAGCCGGGGAAAGGACACCTGTGGGCTGCTCACCGCCTTGAGTTTTAGAGTTATTCTCTTCTTCACGCACCTTTTTCATTACTTCATCGAAGTCGTTCGGAAGAAACAGTTCGAAAGTTGAAACCGTCGTCGCGGTTTCATCTTGAGTTTTCGGAGCATCCAATAAGTTCTCTACCTTGCCTTCAACAGGGCGTTTGTCTGTGTGACCCACATCCGGGTGTTGTTGTTCTGCGTAATGTCCATACTGCTGTTGCTCAACGTGGTGTCCAGGCTGTTTTTGTACCACGTGGCGTGCAGGCTGTTTTTGTACCACGTGGCGTGCAGGCTGTTTTTGTACCACGTGGCGTGCAGGCTGTTTTTGTACCACGTGGCGTGCAGGCTGTTGCTGTATCACTTGATGTCCAGGCTGTTGTTGCTGTATCACCTGATGTCCAGGCTGGTGTTGCTGTATCACCTGATGTCCAGGCTGTTGTTGCTGTATCACCTGATGTCCAGGCTGTTGTTGCTGTATCACCTGATGTCCAGGCTGTTGTTGCTGTATCACATGATGTCCAGGCTGTTGTTGCTGTATCACCTGATGTCCAGGCTGTTGTTGCAGTTTTACCACGAGATATCTAGGCTGTTGTTGCTGTTTTACCACGAGATATCTAGGCTGTTGTTGCTGTTTTACTACGTGGTGTCCAAGCTGTTGTTGTTGTTTCACGTAATGTCCAGGCTGTTTTTGTACCGTTTGACGAACAGGCTCTTGCTGTTTTACCTGATTTATAGACTGCTGTTGGTGTTTCATGTGATGCACAGGCTGCTTTTTTACTACACGATATCCAGGCAGCTGTTGTGCCACGTGACGTCCAGGAAGCTGTTGTTGTACCACGTGACGTGTAGGCTGTTGTTGTTTCACCTGCTGTACAGACAGCTGTTTTACTACGCAATGTTCAGGCTGCTGCTTTTGTACAACGTGATGCGCAGGCTGTTGTTTTACTTGCTGTTCAGACAGCTGTTTTACTACGCAATGTCCAGGCAGCTCTTGTACAACGTGATGTCCAGGCAGCTGTTGTTGCACCACGTGGCGTGTAGACTGTTGTTGTTGCTGTTGTTTTGCGGGCTGTTCAGACAGCTGTTTTTCTACACGATGTTCAGGCAGCAGTTTTACCACGTGATGTGCAGGCTGTTGTTTCACCTGCTGTTCAGACAGCTGTTTTACTACGCAATGTCCAGGCTGCTGCTGCTTTTGTGCAACGTTGCGTGCAAACTGTTTTTGTTTCACTTGATGTCCGGGCTGTTGTTGAACCACGTGACGTCCTAACTGTTTTTGTTTCACCAGGTGTCCTGGATGTTTTGTGTCTTTGTAGGGATGCGGAGCCCGTTGTTTAAATCGAGGGCCCAGGGAGTGATGTGATCGTTCTGATGATCCTGTGCCTGGTGTGGACTTTGCTTTTAGAGATTTGCCAGCCTTTCCGTGGTCTGTCGCTTTCTTTACTGTCTGTGTTGCCTTTGCAGCCCTTGCAATTTTTACTGTCTTTGCTTCATGTGCTGACTCTGCTGTTTCTGTAACTTTTGCTGGCTCTGTAACCTTCGAATCGTCTATTACCTTCGATTCCTCTGAAATCTTCGATTCCTCTGTTATATTTGATTTTTCCTTTGTTGCCGGTGCAATTTTTTCTGCCTTTTCTTCCTTTGCTGCCTCTGTAACCTTTGATGTGTCTGTAACTTTTCCAGCCTCTCTGACCTTTGATGTCTCTGTAACCTTTGATTCCTCCGTAATCTTCGATTCCTCTGTAACTTTTCCAGCCTCTGTAACCTTTGCTGTCTCTGTAACCTTTGATTCCTCCGTAATCTTCGATTCCTCTGTAACCTTTGCTGTCTCTGTAACCTTTGATTCCTCCGTAATATTCGATTCCTCTGTAAGCTTTGATGCCTCTGTAAGCTTTGATTCCTCTGTAAGCTTTGATTCCTCTGTGACTTTTCCTGCCTTGGCTACATCTGTCGATCCCTTTGCCCATCGTTTCTTCAGCGTTATTTCTTTTTGCTGTCTGCGTATCTCTCGCATATACTCCACTTGCTGTCTCAACGACTCTATTTCGAGGTTGAATGCGTTATTTCGCTTCTTTTCGGGAAATAGTTCAGCCTTCGGTGGGATCGGAGTGCGCTGAAGGGGTTGTTTCTGTTTCTCTTTCTTCTCTCTGGGACTGCGTCGGACGGGTGATATGTAGGGTCGTCGTGGCGCCCGAACTCGTTTACGACTGAGCGTCGTCGTGTCTTCTGAATTATTGCGATGTGTTCCTTGCGGTTGTTTGCCGGGGAAAGTACGCTTTTTGGGTAGTTTTTGCGAGGATTTTGATTTTGTTATCGGCTTTCTATTGTCACCACCATAGCCATCATTGCCATCTTCATTCTCATCTTTATCTCCATGTCCATCTCCTTTGCCTTTTTGGTCTCCATCTTTATTTCCATCTCTTTCTCCATCGTTTCCTTCATGTCCATCTCTATCACGATCTCCAACTCCATCTCCATCTTTCGCTCCATCATCACCTCCATTTTCATCTCTATCACCATCTCCACCTTTATCCCCATCTTTATCGCCATCTTTGCCTCCATTTTCATCTCCATCTCTATCACCATTGCCGTCGTCTTCTGATTCGTTCTCTCCATTATCACCTCCATCTTTATCTCCATCACTATCTATATAATCATTTCCATCGCCATCTCCACCTTTCTCTCCATCATCCCCTCCATCTCCATCTCTATCACCATCTCCACCTTTCTCTCCATCATCCGCTCCATCTCCATCTCTATCACCATCTCCACCTTTATCTCCATCTGTATCGCCATCTTTTCCTCCTCTTTCATCTTCATCTGCATCACCATCTCTATCCCCTTTGCCATCGCCATTGTCTTCTGCATCACCATTTCCATCTCCATCCCCATCTTCATCTCCGTCTTCATCTCCGTCTCCATCTCCATCACTATCTTCATCTCCATCGATATGTCCATCGATATATAAATCTTTATATCCCTCTTTATGTCCACATTTATGTCCATCTTTATCACCGTCTCCGTCTCCGTTTCCATCGTCATTTCCTTTGCTATCTCCATTTCCACCGGCACCGCCACAACCATCATCATCATCATCATCATTATCAATGTCATGGACATTATTATTATTATTATTATTATTATTATTATTATTATTATTTGATGGTGGTGATGACGGTTTCGCCATGACTGTCTTCCAGAAATCATTTTCTTGTGGTGCTGGTTGTGGTGATTTGGGTGGTGAGGCAGGGGGTAAAATTAACGATATCTGTGGTGTAGGAACTGATAGTAATGATAGTGTCTCCTCGTCGCTTGTGCTCATGGGTTCGTCCTCTCGTCGTGGGGGAGAAGTTGGTCCTGGTGAAGTTGGTGGTGCTGATGTTGGTGGGGGTTGTGCTGGCGGTACTGGTGCTGTTGAGGTTGATGGTGTGGCCTCGGGGCTTGAATTCTGGGAGTCATGCCCTTGTAGGGGTGGTGGTTGTGGCAATGCATATGGTGGTGAAGTTTGTGGTGCTGAAATTTGTGGGAGTTGGGCTGGCGAGGGTTGTTCTGGTGAAGATGATGATGGGTCCTCGAGGCTTAAGCCCTGAGAGTCAAGCCGTGGAAGCGATGGTTGTGGTGGTGATGATGATGGTGGATGGGGTGGTGGTGGTGAAGTTTGTGGTGCTGAAATTGGTGGGAGTTGTGCTGGCGAGAGTTGTTCTGGTGAAGATGATGATGGGGCCTCGTGGTTTGAGCCCTGAGAGTCAGGCCCTGGAAGCGATGGCTGTGGTGGTGGTGATGATGGTTGTGGTGGTGATGACGACGGTGGTGGGGGTGATGGTGGTGGTGGTGATGGCGTACTCCTCAGCGGGGATATCAGCTGTGGGGGTCTGAGGTCAGCCATTAACTTGTTGATATCGTACGGTAAAAAGGACAACGTTGCCGTTGATGATGGCCGATCTGATGCTGGTGCTGACGCTGATGTTAGTCCTGATGTTGCTGGTGGTGGTGATGCTGATGTTGGTGGTGATGATAGTGTTGCTGGTGGTGATGACGAATCGGGATGCGGTGACGATGACGATGCCGTCGACGAGGGTGATGACGTGAACGTAATCCGTGAACCCGTTGGTGATCGCGGCGGACCCTGATAACGTGGTGATGTCGATGGTGTGTCCTCGGGGCTCAAGTTCTGGGCAGCACTTTCTGGTTGCGATGGTTGGCTTGGCGGTGATCGTGGTAATGGTCGTTGTGATTGTCGCGGTGATTGTCGCGGTGATTGTCGAGGTGATTGTCGGGGTGATTGTCGGGGTGATTGTCGGGGTGATTGTCGCGGTGATGGCCTTGATAATTGTTGTGGTGATGATCGTGGTGATTGTCGCGGTGATGATCGTAGTGATTGTCGTGGTGATTGTCGCGGTGATTGTCGCGGTGATGATCGTAGTGATTGTCGTGATTGTTGCGGTGATTGTCGCGGTGATGATCGTAGTGATTGTCGTGGTGATGGTCGCGGTGATTTTCGTGGTGATGATCGTAGTGATTGTCGTGGTGATGGTCGTGGTGATTGTCTTGGCGATAGTCGTGGTGATGATCCTGGTGATTGTTGCGATTGTTGTGGTGGTCGTAGTGATTGTCGTAGTGATTGTCGTGGTGATTGGCGTGGTGATTGGCGTGGTGATTGGCGTGGTGATTGGCGTGGTGATTGGCGTGATGATTGGCGTGGTAATTGGCGTGGTGATTGGCGTGGTGATAGGCGTGGTGACGATCGTGGTGACTGTTGTGGTGATTGTAGTGATTGGCGTAGTGATGATCGTGGTGATGATTGTAGTGATTGTCGTGGTGATTGTCGTGGTGATTGTCGTGGTGATTGTCTTGGCGATAGTCGTGGTGATGATCGTGGTGATTGTTGCGATTGTTGTGGTGATCGTAGTGATTGTCGTGGAGATTGGCGTGGTGATTGTCGTGGAGATTGGCGTGGTGATTGGCGTGGTGATTGGCGTGGTGATGAGCGAGGTGATGATCGTGGTGACCGAGGTGATGGCCCTGATGATTGTAGAGATGATCGTGGCGATTGTTGCAGTGGTGATCGGGATGATGATCGTGGTGATGATCGTGGTGATGGTCCTGATGATGAGGGTAATGATGATTGTACCCATGAAGACGTTGGTGACAGCGTAGGTGTCCTTTGGGATAACGTCTGTTGTTGTGAGAGTCGAGACATCAGCACGTCTGGTGTTGATGTCAAATTTAACGTTTTTAATTGTTCTGCATGTTGTGCTGGCAGTTTTGCTGATCCTGATCCTGATGCAGATTCTGAGGCTGATGGTGATGCTTGGGCTGATGTTGGTTCTGTTGCTGGTGAATCTGATGGTGTGGTCTCGGGGTTTGAGCTATCGGGGCGTGAGCTCTCGGCGTCACTTTCAGATAACGATGATTGTGGTGGCCATGGTGGTGATGGTGACGACGTAGCTGTTGATGATGGTAGTGCTGATGCTGGTGTTTGCTCTGGTGCTGGTGTATGTGCAGGTGGTGGTGCTGGTGAAGTTGATGGTGCAGACTCAGGGCTTGAGCTCTCGGTGTCACTCTCTGGTATCCACGGTCGTGGTGTCGGTGGTGCTGGTGGCGAAATCGGTGGTGTTGATGTTTGTGTAGTTTGTTCTGGCGAGTGTGGTGCTGGTGAACTTGACGATGCAGACTCGGAGTTTGAGCTGTCAGCGTCACTTTCTGGTAGCCACGGTCGTGGTGTCCGTGGTGGGGGTGGCGAGTTCGATGGTTCTGATGTTTGTGTGGGTTGTTCTGGTGAAGGGTACGGTGAGACATCGGGGCTTAAGCTCTGAGCGTCACTTTCTGGTAGCCGCAGTCGTGGTGTTGGTGGTCGTGGTGGCGAGTTTGACGATTCTGATGTTTGTGCGGTTTGTTCTGGTGAGGGTTCTTCTGTTGAAGTTGATGGTGCGGCCTCGGGGCTTGAGCTCTGAGCGTCACTTTCTGGTAGTGACGGTTGTTGTGGTGAAGTTGGTGGTGGTGATACTGATGAAGGTTGTGGTGGCGAGGATTCTGTTGGCGAGGGCTGTTCTGGCGTAGATGATGATGTGGTCCCGGGGCTTGAGCTGTGGGTGTCGCGCTCTGGTAGCGATGGTTGTGGTGGCGATGTTGGTGATGGTGGTGATGATGATGTTGGTGATGATGATGCTTGTGGTGGTGGTGGTGACGGCGTACTTGGCAGCGGGGATATCAGCTGTGATGGTCTAAGGTCAGCCGCCACATCATTGATTTCGTCCGGTAATGATGACGACTTTGCTGTTGATGATGGTTGTTCTGGTGCTGTTGCTGAAGGTGGTGGCGATGATTCTGATGATTCTGATGACGATGATGAACTTAGATGACGTTGTCTACTAACTTTAATTCGAGGGGATTTTGACGCGCTTGCCGTAGAGCGCCTCTTCAGTGTTCCTGGTTGAGGGCCACTGAAAAGTGCAGACGTTGATGATGGTTGTTCTGGCGCTGATGCTGTTGTTGGTGCTGCTGCTGTTTCTGTTTCTGTTGCTGTTGCTGTTTCTGTTGCTGTTTCTGTTGCTGTTGCTGTTGCTGTTGTTGTTGCTGTTGTTGTTGCTGATGCTATTACTGTTTGTACTGGTGCTGGTTCTGATGTTAGTCCTGATGTTGGCGCTGATGTTGATGATGGTGGTGACGATGACGACGACGACGAATCCGATGACGATTCTGATAATGGTGACGATGATGAACTGAGGTGAAGCTGCTTGCTAACTTTGATTCGAGGGGGGTCAGACGTGTTCGTTGTGGATCGCCTCTTCAGTATCACGGGTTGAGGGCCTCCGAAAAGTGGAGACATCGGTCTCAGCGAGGTTTCGACCATTTCTGAGGGTCCAGATGCCATCTCTGGACTGTAAAAGACAAATACGAGATCTCCTTTAGTTATAAGCTGAAACAACTAGTCCAGGAAGAGATTTGTCGAATTATAGGCATTTATCAGTTAAGGTCTTTTTGTTTTGTTCGAACAAAGCCTCCATTGGCCCCTCTCCCCTCCCCCACCTCCCCCGTTCGTGCGCCTTTCAGAAAGTTCGCTGCCTCCCCATCATTCGGTTTGTGTATTTGTGTATGTAGTATGGAGGGGGGGGGGATTCAACAGACCAGCTTTTTGTGTGTTTTACGACGCTCGCAACTGCATACGGTCATATGAGCTCGCGGAACACATTAAACATTTTTCAGTTGGTGGGAGGTTTTGAATTTAGCCCGGATGGCCCCGAAGCCTACTCTTGTCGATTTTAGGACCACAAACGGATCTTTAACGTGCGCAATTTGCACTCGGAACCTCCGAGATTTGTTGCTCTTTTCCGAGAAGGCTAGGTGTTAGATCTTACCTACCATAAGATCAGAGGTGTGGGTGGAAGACAGCAGTGAGAAGGAGCCAAGGGGTACAGTAGAAAGAGTCAAGATGAGGTGGCAAAGGGGGAGGGGTGGGGTGGCAGAAAGTGGAGACGAAAATGAAAGGAGAAAATTTAGAGAAAATTTACCTTTATTGCCCGGATTCGAACCTGGGACCTATTGAATGAGAGGCAAACACCGTAACCTCTAGACCACGAACGCCCCCACAGACAAACTAAATATCAGCAATCGCTGGTTGAGTTGTATGTAGACATCGTGGTTGTATACCCTTTGGGGGGGGGTGGTGGTAGGTGCCTCTAGCTGTCAGATCTGGGATGGGTTGTTTGTGTTTAGGGTAATGCGTCCCAATAGTAGACAGGGAACATTTTTATATACTGGATGTAATATTTTCACCATGCAGGAGCCTACCTTCAGGAGATGGAAGTCTTGCAAGAAAAGTCTATATGGAGTGTGTGTGTGAGAGAGAGAGAGAGAGAGTGTGTATGTGTGATTGTGTGTGAGGGTGTGTGAGGGTGTGTGAGGGTGTGTGAGTGTGTGTGTGTGTGTGTGTGTGTGTGTGT